AAAGTGCTGGACTGATCAGTTAGAGGCTTATCTGCAGGATGCACTCTATGGGACACGTTCCAGCGTAACACGTCTTTGGATGTGGCTGTCAGCATTATCGTAGCGCTTCAAGACACGAGTTTAATCAGAGTTTAAACAGCACTCGTGTGTCGATCCACCCATACGTCGACTGCATTTTCCCCATTGAAAATAATTTAATTAATTAATTTGTTTCTATTATTAATTAAATTAAATTAGAGAGGGAGAGAGAGAGAGAGAGAACGGGAAAGAGAGAAATAAAGCGACGGGTAAATTATCCAAGCGAGGGACAGTGAGAGGACAGCGCAACAGTGTCGAGTGGAAAAATGGAGCTGGGTTAAGCACTCGTAAATCAATGTTTCCTTATATCGCGAGAAAAATCTTGCCAAAGTTGATACAGACCCACTGTATATAACAGAGCAGATCATTCCCACCATTATATTACTGTGTTTCTGGACGATAAGTCAATTTTTTTTTTCATCCTTTGGCTGGATTTGCGACTTACATTCAGGTGCAGTTTTTATATTAAAATATATCATTTTACGCTTGTCATTTTCACACTGACAGCCACTGGAGGGCACTGGTGCGACTTATATATGTTTTTTGCTTCTTCATTATGCATTTTTTTTGGCTGGTGCAACTTATACTCCTACTTATAGTCGGTTTATAGCTTATTTCCAGTGTGATTTATCCAGTCTAATTTTTTTTTCGCTTCAACTTTTTATTTGCTTACGCTCACACACCGTCTAAAGAAGCATGCAAGGGTGGCAACTGAATGTTTGCTATGTCTGTATAACAATCGTGTGACATAAAAATTTAGAATCTACTAACAACAAACCAGTAATCGACTCAATTTGTTTTGCACTTTAATTTACCTCTGAAATCCAAAGTGTGAATTAGCTCTGCTATACATTTTACCGCACATGTGGGTAAAAAAAAAAAAAATTGGCAATAGCTCAAGTGCACTTTGTATGATAGGAATTAGATACGATATACCTGTTAGTACAAAAAAAAAAGTATAGTATAGCTATACTTTTACAAAATTACCAGATATCCAAAACAGCCTATTTGACTGTCTGGTCTCTACCCTTCACTGCCCTCTGAATGCCGTGGAGTAAATTTATGGGATTCTGGAGAAACATTCCTTAAGTAAATGTAAATAAACTGCTCGTCCATTAAAGAAGTGACAGGTAGGTCTTCGTGAAGTTGGACTGCACACATCGCATCCTGCTGCACATTAATGCACAACAGCTGCTGAGTGAGCATGTGTGGAGATGTTCATGTCAGATCTGGGAACAGCAGATCGTTCTTCACTCCTCACTGCTGGATCATCATAAAAAGAGCTCGTGCCGTCGCAAAGAGTGTGTTTCTAATAAGGTACGACTTCTCTGTCCAAGATATTTTCTGCCTTTGGACAGATGCTGTTGCGACGCATTTCGACAGTCGCCACACACGTTATAGATTTGGAAACAGAAAAAGCTATGTCAAAATTATTTATAGAAAAGTTATTCAAATACTTACTCAGAGTACTTCAAATACTTAGAAAATGTAAAGCAATTGTTGCTACGTGACCTTATTGTGATATTATTGGTATAATATATAATATAATAATTACCATTATCAGCACGGCAGATGTGTTTTTAAAACCGTTCAAGGATTGTGTGTGAGAAAAGTGGCTTCCAGAAGGTTCCACTGTCACTGGATAGAAACAAAGAATGGAACCAGAAAAAAACAGAAGAACTATTTATTTATATGTTTGAAAAACAGAAAATGAATGGGACTTGACCACAGTCTATGACAGGGGTGGGTAAAACTTTTACCTCGCGGGCCCCAATTGGTCCAAAAAATTTGACAGGGGGGGGCCGGGGAAGGCGCAGATAGATGGAGCGTTT